CCGTTACTCACTTAAGAATAATTACTGAAACTTGAGCTAAAAGAACCTTCTCAAGGTGTCTTAGTCAGTCCCTCAGACAGATCAGATTTACTTACACTTTCTCTAACCTGTTCTGAGAAACATCCAAGGCATACAACACCCATCTTCTTCCACTTGCAGAAACCTCAAGTCATCGGTAGGCAAATTTATGATCTCATAAAAGTTGATATACATCTGAATGGCAGTTCCTGTTAGCTCAGAAACATTCTTCTAAATTGCTCTCCTCAAGTCTATCTTGTTAATAAAGAGTCCAAGGCACAATCAATCATTCTTATCCCATCACATTGACCATTTGAGAATGATTACTGAAATTTGAGTTGAAAGAGCCTTTGGAAATGATCTAGCTGTATGCAAACGTTTCAGATTTTCACCTTTTTTTTTTTTAAGGAAAGCAGATCCATATGAATTGTATGCAAAGCAGCCAACTTTTCTTGAATATAGCATAAGTAGATATTTCAGACACCACAAGCATAATGGTACTTTTAGAGGGGTATCATTTCTGCAGCTGTTTTACAAAAAAAAAAAAAAAGCCCAGATTTGACATTAACATATTAGGAAGGAAAATGCAAGGGTGATGGAGATTACTAGGTTCTTAAGACCGACAGTAAGGTGGCAAACTCTGTTGAGCTGCTGGCCAAAGTATCTAGTACAGAAAATGGATGACTTTCTCATTCACATTTTGAGAACTGATACCTCTTTTCTCTGCCTGAGGTGAGGAAATAACGTATGCCATGCGATATTATGTGGATCAAATAAGCACTCCTGATATTTCAAACCAAGCCTCTCTTAATGAGATTACATACAGTGCTCCACTGCTCACTCTTTAGTAACAAACCCCAGCATTTAAAAACTGTCTGAAGACAGTTTTTAGGGTCAAAGGTCTCTTGTTCTGACAGTGCAAAACAGTGAGGCTCTAGCTGAGGGCAGAGCAATAGGAATACCATTTCTTGACTATATGTTTTTAAAAATAGATTCTGTGCAACATGTTAAGCAGAGCCCACATTATAATGACAAAAAATGCAGAAAGACTTTGATAGATATGTTTGAATCAGCTGACAACTACTGAAGTGATCTTAAAGTCCACATTGCAATTATGGATGGAAGTTTAAAATGATGGTAACACGTTTTCAGTAAAATTGAGCTCTCAGGAGAGTGATTTCTCCTGCCTTTGGGTTTTAGATCATTCTGTGCATTATAAATCACTCCTCCACAAAACTGTGCACATAGGATAAGCCCTTTTAGTAAACCTCCCCCTTAGCTATTGCAGCTCACGGCTAGAAAAAATGGTGTTTGAAGGTATAATGCAGAAGGTGTTTTGGTGTCCTGAGTTATGTAATTATAAACTTGGCTGTGTGGAGAGGAATATGCAGCAACATCAGTTTTTTCCTTGAAGGATTTTGAAATATTTGTATGTAGGTTTTTAATCAGCTCCGTCTGTTTCAAGAAAATACCCACCAAATCTGAAAGGCCGGAGGACCTTCAGGACTTGTCTTCCACAAGCCTCATTTGACCAAAACCATTGGGCACTACAGATCCTCCAGATGTCAAGCTTTGTAAGACCTGTTTACCGGGGAATAAAACCTCTGCCTCACGGCAATAAATGATCGAATGCAAGTGCATTTGTCTCTCTTGGTGCTTCTGTTTTTTTCAGGAGCAGAGATGGGTTCTTCAGGTGAAAGGTCAATGGCTGACCCTTGAAGAAATACTTGATCACCTAGCTGCTTTTTGTCCTTCAATGTAAGACTGTGCTTTTGTCATTTAAAGGGTTTCCTTTCTTCAAAGGCAGGCTAAAGGTGGCAGCTTGACTTCTCTGGATGTAAACCTTAAATCCGAGTGTACTGGTCGATGGATTTGTCTGAGATACCAGAGAGAATTTATACCCAATGGTTAAAACCTGCTGCCTTCTTTCCTGTCATAGACACAAGGAAATAGCTTTTGTTCAGATACTGCATGGTAACTCCACGGAAAATGCCTGAATATTTTCACACACTTCACACCAGCATTTCTTGTGGTTGTCAGAAGTTGGGGAATGGATTCAAGACCAGTTAGTGACTGGCTGCTGTAGCCATGATACTCCTGTTGCTGAATTTTTTTTTTCAGCATTTCTCTTGTCCCACTCTGACACTTGTCTGCAAGTGCCTTTGATTAAGGAGATGAGTGACTTTGCCTGTTCTATTGATCAGAATAAATTACCAGCAGCTAATTTATGGACCTCACAAAAGTGCCTTTGACATGTTGAATTGTGCTCTGTTGTTCAGGTAATTGGGTTGTCAGGAAATGTTATTGGTTACTATACAGTTATCTCTTCTAGAATATTGGCCTGTTTCTTGGAAATGGACAAAATCTTTTAGACTTCCAGTTCCCAGGATGTCATGAAGACTGAGTAAGAAGGAAATAAGCATTATTCTTGATAGTAGTGACTTTAGTAAGAAATCTTGACTGCTCTGTGTTGATTTTCCATGCCTGATTTCTGTAAAAAAGAAAATTACTTTTCTTGTAGTTGCAAGTTCAGGGGGCTTGGTGGTTGCCACCATTTGCAGATTCAGCTTAAAATGGGGGGGAAACATGCTGCACAGGACAGTATTCTTGCCAACAGTGAGATTCAGAATCTTAATATTGGCTTTTTGATGTCTGAGAAGGATAGAACAAAGCTAACCTTTTTTTTTGGGGCATGTTGCAAAGATGGCAAAGATAAACTTGGTTCTGTCACACCCTTAGAGAACACACAAAACACACAAAACCAACAAATGGGCAGCAGGAAGATGTTTTTACATGTGGTTGTCTTTGCAGGCAGCTTCCGCACTTGCAGGCCATGACATCTGCGAAAGTGAGAAAAATGCAAACAAAGGACCCTTGCAAGGCTGAAAAATAAAAGCAGCTCAGGAGCTCACTTTGGGTGTTTGTGTGAAGAGCTCCTACCTGAAAAAGTTTGTCTTCTTCACATGCTGTGAAATGGGAATTTTCTAACTAAAAATACCGAAGGCAAAGAAATTTTTTTAGCTTAAGACAGAAACAGCAAGTAATCCTTTCTGATAATGCCTTCCTCTGGCTGTTTCTGCACGTGCTGTGTTTGAATACATGTATGTTGGTCATGTAGTGGTACAGCATTTTTAGCTCGTTCTTCATTTCCCCAAGTGAGAGGCACATGTAAAGAAGGTTTGTTTTCTTTTTTAGTTACTGGGTCTACATCAGTGGGAGGGTTCATACTAATAGCAGCTGCAAGAAAGTTCAGGTGATTAGATGGCTTTTCTGTTTATCTTTGAACACAGTGAAAATTGGGGCAGTTCTTCTATATGAGTATGCCACACTGTTCATGTCCCACTGCTGAGAGGTTCTTTCTGTATTTCTCTCCCTGCTGCCCCAAGGGAATGGCACTGACACAGAGATTCAGTAAGAGATGGTCATTCAGATAGAAAACCTATATTTGTTCAAAGCCCTGAAGAGTAGAAGAGCACTGACTGGGAATATTTGATGGAGAATCACTGCAGGGAGATGCAATGTGAGATGCCATATACCCAGCAGAGCACTTTTGCATAAGCCTGTGTTGCAGCTTTCTCCCTCAATATCAAGAGCCAAATCCCTAGAGCCTCAGTGTAACCATAGCTGGAGGCAGGCTTTTTTTTTGCCCAGCCACAAACAGAGGAGTGCATGTGTGCTCTTGGCACCTGCAATGGTGCCCAAGCACAGTGCAGAGCTTGAATGGGCCCAAGACTGCAGATGGACCCCCCAACAGGCTGCTGGGCTTTGGTTCTCTCTAGGTCTTGCAAGAGCAGTGCTGAGTGCCGTGAGGTGGTTTTGTTTATATCCTGCTAGCTCTGGAAGTCTCATCTCAGGAAATACCAAACCTTTTTGTTTCTCGTGGGAACATGGGAATTATCTCTTGGCAACCCATACGACTCCTCCACGAGTTCTGTGTCAAACAGACCTGGTCAGGTGCTGGTGTGGTTGGAATGAGGGAACTGCATTGATGGGAGCGTAACAACCTTTGGAAGCCCTATGGCTGATGAACACATCAGTTTCTCTGTGTGCAGGGCTAGTTTCCTTCCTTGGAAGAACTGAGTGCTTAAAGTGTTTGTCCACCCAGCAGCTTTGTAGATACCAGTGGGTAAGGAATGGTTAAGGAATGGCTTTTCTCCACCCAATTCAGTCCAGGCCCCATAGTGATAGCTGAAGGAGGGCTGTGGGCAGCCTCACTCTGCCATTGCTTCTGTAGGAGCTCTGTGATTCTTAGAACTCCCCTGAGTTTTGGGTTATCAAGCGCCCCTTGTTGCAGCTGCACCAGCTGCAGAATGGCTCATTTACTGAGCACAACAACGGGCTCCTGTTTGGGCAGGATTCCACTGGCAGTCCATGGCTGACCTGGAGACCTTTGATATTTTGGCTGGCAGACTAGTTGTCTGTGCCCTGCTTGGTATTTCCCTGTAAAATACGCTCTAGGTTGTCCTTTCTTTAGGAGACATTACCCTTCCTCCCACTCGTTCCCGAGTCCAAGCATCACTGCGAATGCTCTTAGCTAGAAGGTCCACCCCTTTCTGCACTGAGCACGAAAACGCACTACTCACCACTTCCTCACCAGACAGGCACAGCGTTCCAGCTCAGGAGGTGTCTCTGAGGTCCTGCAGCTGGACGCATCTGCGTTTCCAGCTTTGCTTTCTGGAGGGGACACTTCAGATGTACAGTACAACTGTATACTGCCAGCATCAACACAAGCAGGAGAGGCCCAAGATACTGGGTTGCTTTACGCTGGTATTTCCAGTGAATCCTCATACTGCTGCTTTTTGTGGATATCTTTGCCTGCTGTTACCCAGGGACGACAAGACCTATTGGAGGAGTTTGTGAATTGTTCTGATGTGAAGAGCACCAGCACCTATACCATACTTACCTTTTGATCCTGTTGATATTTTGATGTACTTCTTGCCTTTGAAATTACAGGGAGTTTTCTTTTTCCTCCTCTTTTTTAGATAAAAAGGTTTAGAGAGACATGGAGCTTGAAAGAATCATTCGAGACACACTGACATGCTTCATCCAGTCTCACATCCCTGCAGCAGACCTCAGGTATGTTGAGATAGGAAGATGCAATATCATTGTTCTAGCTTGAACTCTGCATTAATTGTCCCTCTACACATTATACTGAACTCTGTAGCTTTCCTGTACTTTGTGTTGCTTTTCCATAAGTCAGATCTAGGATGCAGGTAATTTGCACAGGCTCTGATGGGAATGCTTCAACTTAGCATTGCAATCTAGCAATGTCATTTCTTTGATGACCAAGATGATTAATTTCCTGTCTAGTAATACACATTAGAATATGGGATTCTCTTCATTCCACAGTGCTCTCGAAGGGCTTTCTGAGCAACATAACGCTGTGTCAGGGCTCTCCCTATTTTGAACTCTGCCTGCATGCAGAGATACAGCCACCTTGAGGCTGAAACACGGCAGCTGGTTTTGCAGCCAGTGGCAGCAGTGACACAAGTGTGGAGAGCAGCAAGCAGAGAATACTGCATCCCATAGAAATTGCAACGTGACAGAATACAATGACCTCACCTGAAACACTAGTCAGCATAGAAAAGTCAGGGTTTGAGCATTTGGAATATTTTGGTTAGCTCAGCTGAAGCACCTACAGGAGCAAAGCCTCTGGGCACACACTGGGGCTTTCATTCAGTGCTGCCCAGGAAGCAGGACAGCATGCAGTATTTTATCCATAAATGCTTCCCTCTCAACCACTGACCACCTGCTACCTGGCTTTACTGGTGGGATCTGCCCATAAGATACTGTGCATATGGGTCCTTCTGCTGCTCTATTAGAAAGACACAAGGTTAGGGGGAATGGGGATGGGGAGAGAGTAAAAATGGGCCTGTTGACCCTGCTGCCATGTCCTGTGTTCTCTCTGTCTCCAGTGGGATGGATGATGTTTTCTTCTCGTACATCACGGGTGTCCTGGAAGAGCTGGGCTCACCAGAGTCCTCCGAGGAGAATTTTGACATGGACACCTTTGTGGAAATGATGGAGGCATATATCCCTGGTTTTGCAGAAATCCACAGGTATGTGAAATGTTACTGCTTTGTACGTGCATGCCATGCACTGAGGGCCTGGACCTAAGCCCCTCAGTACCGTAAATTCTTTTGTTATACCCAGTTGAAGATGTATTAGTACCAAACCTGTGCCATTATGATTAAGTCAGTCTTCATCTGAATACACAGATGCTGATCCCAGTATAGTTTGCAAGTAAGTCCTTGGCCATCTGAAATACCAGTTTAGTTTATTGGCTTCCCATCAAGTCTTGTCTTTCTATGAAGAGGTAGCCAAGTAGGATAGGCTACTACCTTTATTCCTCACACTAATTACACAGCTTCTGTCTCTTGCAGTGAGGATGTTTGTGAAATGATGTTCTCCCTCTCAGAAAGGCTTGGTGAAGCTCGCAACAAAGGTGAGTTACACAGACAATTTCAGCACAAGACAGTATATTCTGCACATGTTTCCAGTCTTAGTGTTTGGAGTTGAGTGATATCACAAGCTAAAATACAGTCTTGTTTGCCACAGTTAGGATCTCATAAGGTAGCCTGAATTGATTGATAGGTTTTGGTTTTAATGTTAAGTTGGGTTTTTGATATCAACACATACAAGGTTTGAGTCATATGGAATACTCTCCAAGACATACTGGAGTGAAAAACACTTATCAGAACTCCAAACACCTCTGTTGAGATCAAATCCCGAGTAGTAAGGAAGAAAGAGCAGATACAGGGTACAGGGCTGCTTGTTGAAATTCTACTGTAGGTTAATTCTGAAAGTGAGGATTTCTGCCTGCTTCTGATAGCCATCTGCCTAAGTGACTCTACCACTGGGCAGCCCATGTCAGGTGTATCATCAAATAAAGAATCCAGCTGATTACATGTTATCACTACTAGACTGAGCATCCTCAAAGCTCACTTGCCATTCACCCATGAACCCCATCACAGGTGCAAAATCAGCAATGATGTGCTCTGGCCTGCACTATGCAGGACTGCAGAAGACTATGCTATCCCAATGGCCCTTTCTAACCTCAGCATCCACAGATGAGCTGGATTGCCATGTTAATCAGCCCCAAAGGTACTTCCCTCTAAAGAACAGACAAGTGAAGTGCCTGGATATTAAACCTTTCAAGATACACCAGTCTGGATTTTGCTTATCTAGCAACATCACTGCTGTCTTGCCAGAAGGCTGCATGGTGTAGAACAGACAGTCCTGTCTTTTATCTTACTTGCTGCTTTCTTGAACTTGACAAAGTCTGCTCCGGTCATCTGCATCCTACACTTTGAGGATCTTGTAGCCATCCCAGTTTTAGAGAGGACAGAACAGAGTTGAAATGATTCTTCTTACAGTGACACAGAAAGAGCTTGTAAAGAGAGATGCATCATAATAACCTGATCACAGGATGTGCGGGCTAACATACAGCCTGGGGACTACCAAAGTGTATTCCCAAATTTAAAATCAAAACACCTTAGGTCAAAGTTAGAGCAAACACCAGAGAATTCTTAGAAATGTAACAAACACACCTTAAATATCCACAGCTAAGGTGGTAGAGGGCTGAGAACTGACAGGTAGAATTGAATTCACAAGCAGCCCACGCCCAGTAAGGCCTGGAAACACAGTGCTTGGGCACTCCAGCGTGTGCTAGCACTGCCTCCCTGCAGGTCAGTGTGAGCGGAGCTGCAGCTGTCCCTGCTGAGGGCAGGAGGAACAGTAGTGATTCCCAGTCTTGTCACTTAAGAAGGGATTTGCTTTAGTACATGGTGCACTAGCAACCTAATGCTAACAGAAAGCACAGAGCTCTAGCCTCAGTGGCACTGTTCCTCAGGAGATATCACTATGTCTTTAAGAAAAACCTGGCCAAAAGGCTGTGGGAAGCAGAAGTGAAGCACCCTCTGAAGACTTGACCAAGGGCCAGGAGTCTGGAGCTGGAGCCTGCAATGGGGAAGGGCTGTGCACTCCAACAGACGAAGCTGGGGCCCAGGTATGAGCACGCTGCAGAGGGGCAGGAGCACTGGGGACAGTCACCTAGCACAAGGCTACCAGCACCACCTCAGGGCATTTTCTGGCTCTGGAAGGAACCACAACATAGGCTGTGACAGCATCACTGGTGTCTGTGATCTCCTTCATTGTATGGCCTGAGCAAGTCTCTGTCAGTAAGCAGGGGGAAAAAAAAAAATAATGTGCTGATGGAAGAATATGAGCCATCACTCTGGCTGATCCTTTCCAGTGTCTGGAAAGACACATCTAGAGCGATGGTTGAGAGAACCTGTCCCAGTGCCCTCAGAGATCCCAGAGCAGCACCATGGGGACACGTCTGCAGTCCAGGCTACACCCCACTTCACCATGTTCCCCTAGCCAGCCAGTTTGAGCTGGATCACTATTTCTCTCCCCAGCAATCATGCAGTATCTGCACAGGAAGCAGTCATGTCCGAGTGTCAGTCCCAAAGACGCCAGCCCCACCCTCAGTGACTTTCTGTGCCGTGCGCTTACTGAGCTATACAGCACCGAGTCATTGGCCCAGCAGTCCTGCAGCACGATTCCCCTGCTGATGCTGCCGCATCATTCAGTGTGACCCATGCTACAGGCATTGCAGCACCTGGCAGATCCCCTCCACATCCTTCCCCCACACTCTACTTGCTGTTTCTCCAGTACTGATGTCTTCCTGCTCTGCAGTGCAGTCACTCTGCACAGCCTTCTAGGAAATGCTGCTGCGCTTCCTTCCAATGTAGCCACAGCTCACTGTGTTCAGCAGTCCTTTCCCTTTCTGATCCAAGCACATAGAACTTCACAAGGTGAGCAGGAGTTCAAGCATTCACAGCACAGTGTCCAGAAAGCTTACTCCTAAAGAGACACATAGCATGGCCACACAGGAGAGCCAGTTCACAGCAGCCCTACTTCAAAGAAAGCTGAAACACAGAAGGAGGAGATTAAGGAAGTGATGCTTTGTCCTTGCAAACATACAATCCCCTGTTAGCTTCAGGAACAGGATTTAGTCACACTTGTAAGAAGAGAGGGCCTTCAGCTAAGGGCAAGCTGAATGTCATGGTTTAGGCGGGCTGAAACCAGGACACTGAATTTCCCAACAATGCAAAACCAGAGGGGCCCTTTTCAATAGCCCTCTCCTCGCTGTATTGCAAACTTACCTCTCTCTCTTGCTCCAACTAGGAGGACGATGACTTGAAGGATGGGGTGGAGCTGCTACTGGAGATGTTCCCAGCATGTACTGTGAGCCAGGCAGAGAAGGCACTTGCCATGGCCTTGGGGAACTTGGAGGAGGCAGTGCAGTTAATTGTGGAGGAGAAGGTGGAAATTGGCCCAGCAGGTGCAAGTGTGAAGGTACTGTACTGTACTGTGAGCTGGGTGGCAGCAGGCCAAGGAGAAGGGCAGGGCTGAGGGACACACAGGTGGCCCAGCTGTCTGCTGCACAGAAGCTTTGACTGCAGGAACTTTCCATGCAATGAGCCAGGAGGATCACCCAGAGCAACAGCCCCTCTCCCTTCTTTGGGTCCCTGAGTACAAGGTGTGCCCACGGCTGAGCCAGCACCCCAGCAGAGCTGTGGCTGGCACCCCCTTTTCCACAGGGGCTGGAGTGCTCCACCAGCAGCTGGGCTCACCAAGCTAGCAGAGGGGTAACTGTATACCCCACATGTTGTGCTACTCACACACTCACCTTGTCTCCTCCCAGGAACTGGCACGGCCCCGCAGAGCACCCAACCATGAGGAACTAAAACAGGTTATCCTACAGAAGTAAGTACCCAGCAGCAAAAAATCCCTTATTCTACTGCAAGTAAAGGAAGAGGTGGCAGTTGGGGGAAGGTCAGAATGACAATGTGGTCTATAAAGAACTTGGGAGTATACAATGCTTAGTAAGGATGCCATGAAGCTGATTTGGGTATAGCCGAACACATCGAAGCACAAATACAATCATCAGGTGGGGGACAAAAACCCACAGGTTTGGGTTTCTTTTAGAGCTCTGGCACAGAAACAGGTTACCTGCACCAGCTGGGTCCCAGCGCTGGCTGTGTGCAAGCTTTCAGCATCCTACTGGCATAATGTAAATCACAGTACTGTCAGCTGAGGTCCCAGTTAAAGGTTCAAGGCACAAACATCATGCTGCAGCTCAGGTAACAACACATTGTGACTTGTAGAACTACAGCAACTCATTCATACCTCCGTCCTTGGAGACAGTCCAAACAAGGCTAAAGATATCTTTAACAGACTGGCTGTACAGCAACACTGGGAAGATTGAATCTTCAGTTGCTGAAGGTGTGAATTCCATGCATTTAAAGAAACCTCTTTGAAGTCCCCCTCTGGACTTCTTGGAAATGAAAGCGGTGTTAGATTGGTTTACCTTTATTCATTTCCAAAAGCATTTAATTCTCAACAGAAGAACCCATGCTGTGGTTTCATCGATCTGTTTTAAGATGTCAGCTTTCATGAGTATCCTCCTGCGGGCATGCAGATTCCACGTGTCTGTCCAGCCACGTCTTTTCTACCACTTAACATTCTCCCCAGTGACAGAATAAACAGTCGATGGGCTAGGGAAGATAAAGCAAGGCAGATGGCATCCAGACAGAATTAGCAGTCCCTGTCCTTGCATGTCACTCTTGAAACAAGCCTGCACAGGAGACGGGCAAGGGAACAAAAAAAGCACCAGCTGCTAGTTATGTTTCTGGGAACTTCACTTTAATGACATTTTGGCAACATCCTGTACTTTAAACATCACTCAAGCACAGGTACAGAGAGCAGATCACCGTAGCTGAAGATACACAGGAACAACTATACTAACTACTAAGGGAGAAGTTACAGTCAGCTGTGCTGTCCACCTGCTAAACCAGCACCAAAGTCTCAAGAGTAGTAACTCAGCGAGCAAATGCTTGGGCCCTGATGTTTCGGTTACATAGGGAACAAGATGATGCTTTTATGAAGTTGTTTCCGGCACAGACCCATTTCGTTGAAGAGTAGTAGGTGGAGTGTGAAAGGAACACCATCTCTTCAGGGCAAAAGCAGCCAGCTTGGTCCTGTAACCTCACCTCTGTCTCCTTTGGCTGCCATCACTTGGGCTGAGAAGTAGCAAAGCTGCCCCAATGGCAGAGCACACTAGACCTCAACACATTTCTCAGTTCTGCAGAGGCTATCGGCATTCTCAACAGCCTAAGTTTTCAATACCCTCCACATACAGCCAAAGATGCTATTCCAGGAGAATCCTGCTGGATTCTCAGCAGAAGGATGACATGCTTCTTGCCTGTGTCACCCAGAGGGGAAGGTTAAGTGCTCCTAGCTGCACTCTAGGCAAGTAGGACACATTGCACAGCCACAAACCAGCCAGGGGAGAAAGGACATGGGCTGTGAATAGCCCCACGCAATGCATGTTAACAGCATTCACTAAATGCTTGTCTTTCAGATACATGATGGTGGATAGTGCAGACGATCAGAAAACGCATCGGCCAGCTCCACCCAAGGAGGTAAGAAGAGTGGTCCCAGTGCACCAGCAGTTTGAATATCCTTTGGCTACAAGGTTTAAAAACCAGGCTTCCAGTCCAACAAGCAACAGGGCAGGCCAAAGGCAGGACTGTTCACAGAGCCCACTACTCAGCACAGAGGGAAGATTAGCTTAGCTAAGGTGCTGCAGAGTCTGTCAGTTCCTACCATTCCTGACTAGCATGGCTCCTGCTCCCCCCACCATCAGACAGCTTCCTTCCCAGTTTTGGCCAAGATTTCCAACACAAAGAATGGTAAAGCAGCCCGCCTCAGTCTGCCTGCATTCACCTCCCTGAGCACAGCTCTGCTTCTGCTTCACCCCTCCCTTTCCCTAGCAGTGTAGCTGTCCATCCACTTGGTGTTAATGTCTTTCCTCTCCAGGCTCCCAAGAAGTTGATCCGCTACATTGACAACCAGGTGGTGAGTACAAAGGGAGAGAGATACAAAGACATCAAGAAGCCTGAGAGCGAGGAGGTGAAGAGAACCTACATCAGCCTCAAACCAGCCAGGAAGTACAAGTTCCACTGACAGCCAGGTCCTTCTGCTCTTCAGCCTCCACCTCACCAGCCAGGCATGGCAGGATGGACGTGGCACTAGGGATGAGTCTCCTCCATCTGCCACTAACTGGAACTAATCTGGGAGCTAGGACGCTGCTTTCAGCTTCCTCAACTAACCCAGCAAGGAGACTTCTCTCCTTGTGTAGCCGTCCCTCTGCCCCCAGGGGCACACTGCAGTGGCTCTCCAAGGGCCTAGGCATTCTCTGCTATTCCTTGCATGGGACATTTTTAGATCTAAGATGTGGCTTGTGCTTTTGCAGCAAGCTTTTTACAAGTCTGTGTGCACTGTTGCTTTAAATTGAGTGCCAGTATTAATAAAGATGATGTGAGTTGGTGTGTAGTTCAGCTGGCGCCTGCACATGCTTTACAGACACCGCCTCCAGTCCCTCCTGGGGCCAGAGACAGGATCAGGGTCATCCTCTCTTCCCCTAATTACTCTCTTCATCACATGCACCACAAGATGTAGCTGCTGTTTGGTTAACCACTGAGCGGATACAAGGGCTGAGGCTGAACTCCAGACCAGAGCTAGGCACTCCCTGCTAACACAACCTGTAGCAATCTAAACTCCAGCTGACGTCATGGCCGGGGCTCCTGCCATTTCTCACCACTGTTAAAGCTCCAGCCACACAGCACAGAGCAGGATACAGCAGCAGGCCTCGGCACTAAAGTCAGAAGCTGGAAGAAATAAACAGCAATGACCAACTGCTTTCAGTGTTGGAACAGCTAGGTTTGGTGTTCTTCTGTCAGTGAAAACGCAGTTAGGAGCATGTTCCTCCTGAAAATAACTCCCACCTTGCACCAGCCTATACCAGTGCCCTAGGCCTGGACAGACACACTGCCAGTGCTGGGGCCATGCCAGCCCTTTGGTGCCAGGCTGGCCAGTGGCTGCAGGCTGGAGCCGCGCTCCTCCTCCTGGAGCCCAGAGGGACCTGCCCTCTCCCAAGAGGAGGGCTGGTGGCTTTTCTCCTTTCTGGTCCAGCTGACCTGGTTCATTCCACAGCTCTGCTGGCATGCCCTGCACACCCAACCCAAGGGACAGTCCCCATCAAACACTCTCCTGCTCTCTGGACAGCTGCCACTTAGAGATTTAAAATACAACAAATAATAAATCCTATCTGTTAGGTGGCCTGGCCAAGGCCTGTTCAGCACCATGGTGTTCCTGCAAGTCACTCGCTCTCTCCACACCACTGCAGAGGGAGTTACTTTCCCTGTAGGCACCAACCCCGCTCACGAACACCCAGTGGCTGCTAAACAGCCCCAGAGGAAAGAAAGAGTGAGCCCCACTTGGGCCAGCCTTGCCAACAGGACCAACCTTTCCCTCTGCACGTCTCCACAGCAGCTGGTTCCAGCATCCTCCTGGGATCCCAGCATCGCATCAATCCCCCCCTCCCCGGCAGCAGCAGTTCTAGATCTGGAGGTTGATGAAAGGGGCGAAGCCAACCACATCCTGCAGGAGAACAAGAGCCCTCTGCAACGGAGGCTCCACATCCAGCTCCACCCCACGGCTTCGGAGGATGCTCAGGCTGGACTCAGCCACGTTGTGGCAATGCTTCACCTTCAGCGAGCGCAGCTTGGGACAGTACTCAGCCAGGACCCTGCCAAGAAAGAGAGCACATGCAGGTTGCAAGCCAGGACTCCTAAGTGCAGCACTCACCCTCTTCTCTACTCTCAGCAGCCCAGTGCTTACAACTGTGCTACACATGCACCATCCTTTGGGAGCAGCACCCTGATGGTCCAAGAGAAACTCATGGGACATGGTTGGATCGCAGACCCACCCTCCATGTGACATCCTGGGAAATTTGCTATTAGCAGCCCACAGTGTCTCTCCTGAAGGGCCTGCTAGTGGCTTCTCCCCTAGACTGAGCTCTCATTGCCTTTAGCATGAAGAAATCTGACTTTTCACTCAAATTCTCTTCCTTTCCCCACCCCAGACACCTGCCATCCCCACCTCAGCTCCCCACATTGCCTAGTACCTGATGGAGTCATTCTTGACTCGCAGACACCCCGTGAGGTCAAGGTGCTCCAGCTCAGGGCAGCACTTGGCAATCTCCTCAACTGCCACATCACCCACGTTGGCATTGACAGCCAGTGACAGAGACTTGAGCTTGCTGCACTTCTGCACCAGGTAGCAGATGGCCTCGTCCTTCAGCTGGCGACAGGCTGTCAGGTCCACAGCCTCCAGCGCCTTGCAGTGGTCAGCCAGGCTGCGCAGGGACAGGCTGTCCACCCACTCGCAGTGAGCCAGGGAGAGCCGGCGCAGGTTGGGGCAGCTCAGCGAGATGGCCACCAGTGCGTGGCGGCTGAGCTGGGCACAGCCCTTCAGCTGGATCTGGTGCAGGTGGCGGTTCTGCCCGATGACTGGGAGCAGCTCCCTGTCCGTCAGCCAGTCAGAGCAGTTCTGAAGCGCCAGCTGCTGCAGTACTTCATTGTCCTTCAGCAGGTTAACGAAAGCAGCTCGAGGGATGGCAGGTCCGATCTGTGTGGGGAACCCAGGAAGAATGAGGCATTCCCCTAGGGTTTCAGATCAGCCTGATTCTCACCAAATACTCTCTCCCCTCCTCTCTTCCACTATGACAGTGGTGACCAAAGCCACTCCCTGTCCTCAACCCAGGGCAAACCCTGCCATCAGGCTCTCCTCCCCTCATGCCAAGACTACTGCTACAAGGTAGAAGATGCTCTGGCTTCTCCATCCCCCATCGTCATCCCTGCATTTATATACTCGTGATGAGCTCCACACCTCTGCTCTCCAAAAACTCTTTACTAGACCACTCTGTGTCCTCACAGAACAGTAGCTACTCCTGTCTTCTCAAGTTTCAGGCAGTGTATTCCAGGGCCAGCACAAGCTTTTCCTGAAGACCAGTCACAGAGTTATCTCCCATGAGACCCACCCTGTTGCACAACCTCTGTGAGGACTGACAGGCCATGCCACTCAGGAGCTGGCTTGTGTTTCTGCCAGCCGGTGCCCCATAATGGCCTGGGTGGAGCTTCCAGGCTCACTCCTCCCAAAGCCTCTTGCTAAAGACACTGGCATTGCTGGGGCCTGAATCACCACCACCTCTCCTCCCTGAGCCCATCTGTCCAGTCTGACACTCGAGCCATTAACCCAGGCTCCAGAGCAGAAACCAGCCTCCTTGACAGGGTTTTCTTCTCCCCACAGTCAGATGCTCCCCTGTTAGCTCCAGAGCAGTATGCCGTCTGTGTCTCCCCCAGCCTCAGAGCCATCCAATACCTGGCTTGAGTCAAAGCAGCGCATGTTGGCCAGGTACAACTGGATGAGAGACTGGAACGACTTGCTGACCCTCTGCAGGCTCAGGAGCTGCTGCAGTGGCAGATGACAGAGGATATGTGGAACCAAGATGTCTTCCCAAGGCAGGTCCAGGAGGCATCCCCTGGAGGGGGTCAAACTCATCATCAGATGCCAGGGAGCCAGGCTACAGCGGGAGCCAGGCTAGATCACCTCACACCTACTGCCAGGTGCCTCTAGGAGGAACAGCCAGAAAGAAAGACTCAGCGTCGTCTCCCACAGTCAGCCCACAGG